TTTCGGACATACAGCCGTGATATTAAAGCCATAATTTTTAACTAGTACACATTAAGACTGGTGAACTTTTAGGATGTATGACTTCAGCTTTTTTTACGTTCGACCAACGAATGTGACGTCATGGTCGTCTGCGTACATGTGTCCCGCGAATAGAGTGTCCGATTTAGGTTAGGTTCGATTAGGTTACGTTAGGTTAGGTTAGGTTAGGTTAAGTTAGGTTTGGTTGGGTTTGGTTACTCAGTGGTTGGGTCCGAGTAAAAAGTTGCTGTGTCCACCAGCTTTTGAGGACGATCTGTCGAAAGCAAGTTTTTGCAATATCTTCCTCGGGAAGAAGAATTCAATCCAGAGACTCGTAACAACGCAAATGATCTCGCTGGAGAGAGAGAGAGAGAGACATGTTTCGCTTATGAACTGCTGGGCCTGGCTCAGGGTCTGAGTCCACTCGTTTCGCCCTTTGATCGGTAAAACCCAAGCACGCGCTCCCTTCAGTTCGCAACCAGATGGAAAAAGAAGGGTGAGGGCTGGAAGGTTTCACAAGACGCAAGAGAAGGATGTGGATAGAAAAGGGGGAAAAAAAGATGAAAATATAGAAAAACCCGTTAGAAGGCGGACAGGTCAGGTCAAATGCGATGTGTAGGAACGAACACAAAGTATTTTCGTTCTAACCACGCGTTCCGTTTTCTATCTATTCTTTTTTTTATCCTTTAAGGAAGGAAAACCAAGAGAAACCCGTAACATCTTGTAAATATATACAGTAGGTCACCGGAGGCCCTGGACGAACTCCAACACATGCTTTGAGGAGCTCCCGAGATCCCACTCGAATTCTAGCGATGTCAGTTCCGTCGTCCTACGTACGTATTTTATTAAGAACCAAATCAAAGCAACATCGGTCGAAGGTCGGGCTGACTTAAGGTCAGAACCACCTGAGATTTGTTGTATTTCCGTTTCGGCCGTGCACAAAGCGGACTTACTTTCTTAATCCACGGAGGAACGCAGAGTTTTCGCCGAAATCCTTAATATTTTTGTGAGGTTGAAGAAGCTTCTAGGGGATTTCGTCGACCGGGTCAGCGCCTGAGGACTCGGTTCAGTGACGCTCTGACAACGCGCGCCAAGCAACGACGAATTTTGATGAAATTTGGCACTGAGGTGAACACGCAGACACAGAGGCTAATGAGAAATTTGCAGACGAGAAATTATCCTATTCTTGTACATTCTCATACGATGTGATAGAAGACTCAGCTTCGATGAGAATATCAATAACAAATTCGGCTGTACGCTTGAATTAAAGGAAATTGATATTATGCAAAGTTTCAACAATTGTAGCGTAGACAGAAAATAACGAGGGAGAGAATTTACAAAGAATTTAACAGACGAAAAGATACGGATTTTGAACACAATTGACGGATAGATCATAACGGAATTTTTTATAATTACGTTTTGTGTTCAATTCTGACGAGGTCAGGATCGTTACGAACCATTTGTATTTTGGGTTTAAGTCCGTATTTACATTCACGAAAAATAAAAATACATTCCAGACGAAAATCCTGAAATATAATTACTTTATTATTTCACACACAAAACTTATGTTAATTTTGTATGCGATAAGCTCAACAGCTGTAGATCGTGTTGCCGAATCAAGAAACAATTCTAGAGCGGTACAGAAACATGGCGAACCGCGCAGTTACCTAGAGCAACAGATCTGAAACAAAATTAGCTGTTGGTCATTTGTAAGGTCGCGCGTCATGACATTTGAAAGATGACGATATTTCCTGATCAATATTTCAAAATGTCCTTTTTAAGGCTGGTTTTTTTAAGTGTATTATTTACTCTTGCGAGTGGGTGGTACGATAGAAAAATAACGTAACCTAACCTAACCTCACCTAACCTAACCTCACCTAACGTAACCTAACCAAACCTAACCTAACCTAACCTAACCTAACCTAACCTAACCTAACCTAACCTAACCTAACCTAACCTAACCTAACCTAACCTCACCTCACCTAACCTAACCTAACGTAACCTAACAGCGCGTTGGTCTAATGATGTTCGATTCTGTTTCGATAATCAGTCGCACGAAAAAAATAGTTCGCTTGTGTATCATTTCAATGTAAATATTATTAAATGCGGTTAACATATTAGTTATACCCTTCCTATAGTGCTCTCAGTTGTAATTGGCTGCTTGCGCTGTAGAAGTTTACCAACGTTACAGAGGTCCTTTGGTGCCTCCTTCATCAGGGCGATTACGTCGGTGAACTTCTACCAGACTACACGGCGTTACAACCCAGAAGACAGCCAACTTCTTAGATTCTACATTACGCTTATCGTGGTTCATGACACTGCAGTGAGGTAGAGATAAATTCATTTGTGATCAGTTTCCCTCGGGTGTGAACCGCGATATTTTAGCATCACGTAACCTAAATCAAAGTTTCTGAATGCATTTAAATGGGCATTTGTGTATATCACAATACGTATAAATAAATGTTCTCTCTTGAAATATAAACCAAACTAAATAAAATATAATATTAATGTAAGAAGATCCCAGAACTATAAAAAAAATTGACTAAAATGTCAAAAGTAAAAGAATTGTAAGGCGATTATGAGAAAAACTTAAAATGAAAAAAAAAACAAGAAATATCGAGAAAGCTGTAAGAATTTTTAACCACTGAAAATAACAATAAATTGTGATTGAGTTGGACATCACCGATACAAGAGGTAGAACATGTTTCCTTTTTTAAAAAATATATCTTAGTTCTATGCTAAATGTATCGAGTTACACGAAATAGCAAACTGATATCGTCACATGTCTTACAGAATAGTACCAGGGACTCACTGTAGGGTCTCTTTTGTTGCCTTGAAAATGTCTCAGGAAAGTCACAAATTGACTTCCTTATTCACGCCTGAACAATGTAAACACGATTTGATAAAGTTCTTTTTCGAAGTTCGCGTTCAACTCGAAACGAGATTTACGCGTTTGTAAAAAAAAATGGATATTTCGTTACAAAATTTTTTGGGTTGGGCTTTGATACTCTTTAATTTTCTGGAAAAATTTTCAGTTACTTTTAATGACCAATAGCAAAGATCTCTTTAGAGTAAAATCTCCCGTGGGATAACATCGATTTTTGTAGTTCGCCTTGGACGCCAGGATTCGTAATGAAACATTAATATTCAAATTACTTTACAAATGAACTAACTTCCTTATTTTGTAAGATAGTATAATTGCGTCATATTGTATATTCCAAATGTAAATCGATTATTCGATGTGGAACATAAAATGATATTTTAATTATCTTATTTGTAAATTTTAAAAAATAATTGTGATTAGACGGACAAATTCGAATAATTAATTCGCTTACTCTGGTCCACGCCCCTCAGTGTAACAAAAATAATATTTAAGCAGTTAATAAAATTTAATAAATTTAAGGTTTACATGCGTCATGTTTGTGTTTTTTGATTAAAATATATAATAAAATTCAGGTCAATACACAAAACAATACTTTATTTAGATGTTAAAATTTAAAATTTTAACATTTAAATTTAAAATTTAAAATTTTAACATTTAAATTTTAAATTTTAACATCTAAATAAAGTATTGTTTTGTGTATTGACCTGAATTTTATTATATATTTTAATCAAAATTTAATAAATTTTTCGAAGTCATTTTACTGTAAGTGTTCGCGATATTCAGAATCTCGTCGCAAATGTCGAAGATTATAAATATTCGACATGTGAATCGTACAGCGTCTATTCGACGTCGGACCTCACACTTCGAACACGAAATCGAATTATTCGATCGAAATAATACGAAAACAAAAGAAAATTCCTTTTCACCTCGATTATGACCCCCGAGCTCTGTTCACAGAGATACAAACAGTTATATCGCCTATTCGACGAGCATCGCTCTCTGTGATTGGTTGTAAGCGTGAGAAACTACAAACCAGTGCTGCCAATTGTTTACGCCGTGTTGTTCGAACCACTGAAGTGGTAATTTGATATTATGTCGACGAGGGTAAGGAGAATATTTGGAAGGGGGGTGGAGGGTTGGTCGTGGCGTCACTCTGAGGGATGAATATTTTGCTGGTGGTGTGTCAAAGAAAAGGTTTACGCAAGAGAACAGCAGCCCTTGAAATGTTTTCTTTGAAAAGGCACTTGAAGGATTTCCTCATTCCACTGCAGAGAAGAAGTTGCCGGGTTCAATGAACTCACCGAAACCTTCGTTCTTGCTAAGGACACGCAGACATTAGCTAACCATTACCACGGAGGATTGTTAAAGTTTCGAGTTTAGCAGGTCCCAGAAATGAAAGGAACACAGAAAATTATGTACCGCGGATGAAAGTGGGGTTATTTATTTTTCACAGAAAGCGATGCTTCCATTTTTCGAAAGGAATATTATTGTTCCTTCTTACCCAAAGTTCTTTATTTTTTCCTCATGCCACCCCCTCGGTGGGGGGGGGGTTGGGCGTGGGGGTTAGGTTCAAGTTCTTACGGAGTAAACAAGTCCAAGAGTCGCCCTTTCTCCCCCTCAGTGAGTGGGCTCTTTCGCCGATGTAACCAGAAAAAGAACACCTTTCTTATCTACCCACCCTCGTGAGGTTTCAACTTCCTTCACTAAAGAAAGAAAGAATCTTAAAAATTCTTATTTTTTTTATAACCTCCACGAGTTCGGATATTTCAACGTAATGAAAAATCTTATGCTTGGTCTTTAATTCCTATTGATATGAATTGCAATGTAAGGCACTGTTAGCTTATGTATGCGTTTATCGGCTCTTGTTAACCGGGGCGTGGCGGCTGAAACTTTTTTAGTCGCTTTAAAGCAAACCAATGTAAGAAACAAGGAAAGTATCAGAAATTTAAAAAAAAAAAATCTGACGCGAAAACTTTACTCATGTCTTGTTTTAATTTATTATAATTCGTAATCCCGTGGCTGCGGGCAATAATTTATTAAGTCTCGACGGGAGAAATGTAACTTAGACCCCCCCCACCCCCCCAGTGATTCCCTGAAACTTCTTCCGGCTTGGCATTGCCTAAGAATTTTTTTCTCAACAAACAGTGTTTACCAACCATCGTCCAATATGCCCATTCATCGTTAGTTAAAAAACCTTCCTCTAGTTTGTTTACTACGTAATAGTTTTCGTATAAAAGAATGTCCTCATATTTTCTTATGCACTATAATAATATATATATTTTCACTTAAATTATGACTATATACCATTTGGTACATACCCGTAGTTGATTATCAATTAGGATTGGCTCTGCTAGAAACTAGGAGACAGGCGCCGCGTCCTTACTTCGTTGAAGTTGCTGGTGATGGCGTCGGAACTTGGGATGGCCGTGCTGTAGGAAGAGGCCGGTGGTCGTGGGATTTAGGTCGTCATCGTCTTCATCTTCCTCGTCCGCCCCGGAAGACGGGGATCGAGAATCCCCGCTGCTGTGCGAGTTCGAGTGGACGTTTTGGTTCGTGTAGCCGTTTCGGTTGAGCCGGTGCGCGTTCGCGGTGCTCATAGACAGATCCTCCGGCTCGGTTTGCTCCGGGAGGACGAGGGCGGAGGGTGGCATTGGGATTGGATTCGTGACGATCATGGATCCGGGTGGCGACGTGGCGCTCGCGAGGCGGATTACGCGACGAATTTCCTGAGGCTTCCGTAGTCTGCTTTTTTTCTCTAGAACGGATCCGTTGTTGTTGTGGGCGACCACGCGGCGAGAGGTCACGAAATGGTCCACCTCGTCATCGTCTTCTCCTTCGACGACCATGTCCGAAGCGTCTTCCTCGTTTTCAAAGTCATCAACAACCACGTCTTCGTCGTGGGAGCCAACTGCGGTGGAGAATTTCTGTCTAGCTGCTTCGTATTCATCGCGTTCTGACTTCTTCGATGCGTCCGCTATTCTCTTGCTCACAAAATCGAGTCCTCTCCGCTTTCCGTCTTCGATGCCGGACACTAGAACACCAGAAGAGGCGTCTTTGCTCGGACACTTGTGGTGCATCAGGTGGTGGCGACGCCTGAACCTACCCTGGCATCGCAGACACTCGAAGGGCTTCTCGCCCTTGTGAATCAGCATGTGGGCCTTGAGCTGATTTGAATCGGAGAACTTCGACGTGCATAGTTCGCAGGCGTAAGGCCGTTCGCCCGTGTGAACTCGGAGGTGTCGGCGAAGGTTCGCCACCTGGACGAACTGGCGGTCGCAGTGAGTGCACTCGTAGGGTTTCTCGCCCGTGTGCAGTCGCATGTGCGTCTTGAGGTGGTGATCGCGGGTGAATCGCTTCTCACAGACGCCACAGCGGAACGGCTTCTCGCCCGTGTGAGTCCGCTCGTGGTTCTGCAACACGTGCTTGTAGCCGAAGGACCGGTGGCACGTCCCGCAGGTGAATACTTTGTCGCGGCCCGCGACGGAGTCCACCGCGTTGCCCGCGCTCTTCGCTGGTTCCGAAGGAGGCGATGAACCTGAGGACGGAACATGACTTTAGCCACGGGAGTTTTCCCAGACGGGAGACGTCTCAATTTTC